TGATTACACTTAGCAGTTTAATGCTAAAATTTAATCATTTTTGTATCCACGTTTTTTAAAATGTACCTTTTTACAAAAAAGCAGAAAAATTCAAGTGATGATGTATGTATTTACAGAACAAGAAACATCATTAAAACTGTTTCTCACAGGCTTCAGAGATATTAGTGTTTTCTTGTTTTTATCCCAGGTGATCTAATAAATGTGTTAATGTCACGTTTCTGGCTCATTGAACGCAGCGTTTTGACTTTTCTTATGTTTTGGTCTCTGTCACGCATCAGTTTAGTTACTTGTGTCCTCTCTGTGTGTCTCTGTTTGTGTGTCTGGGTTTTCCCCGTTTTCCCCTCCTCGTGTTTAGTCCACGCCTCCTCGATCTGTTGCGTGCGTTCGTCCATAGCCGTTTCCACCTCTCGTCTCGCACTGTCGCTTCCCTGTTCCCCTATTCGTGTGTCTTAGTCTGCCCTTTTCCTGTTTTATTTTGACAGCCTTGTGGTCGATGTTCAGTGTGTTTAGTTTTGCTTCAGGTCTTTGTTCAGGTCTTATCAGCAGAGCACGATGATGGATGCAGCGCCTGTGTCAGAAAATGATAATAAAACACTCGTGCGGTATCAAGGCCAACGTTTGACGTCTTCATTTAAACCAACGTCATCTGGATCTGCACTAAAATTTAACGAGTCCTCCCGACGCTGGGAAAACCGAGTCTCTCCAACAAACAGAGGGCGATCACGCGCCACAGACGAGAAGAAAAACTGTGACGGGTGTGGGTGACGTGGCCTTTCCTCCAGGTAAACTGAACGGTCGCTGCTCGACCAGCACGAAGGAGGCGAGCTCAGCTCACGAAAAGCTCGTTTACTCGCCTGCAACGCCTGCTGAGGACGGCTGACAGTAACGAGGTCTCCTCAGGGTTTATCACTGGAACAAGAATCTGCCAGTGGCAGGTTTATTTAGAAATATTAAAAAAAGCAATGAATTAAAAAAGAGCACATGATGTGACGGCCTCACAACAACAGCTTCTACTCCTCCCTCTGCATCCTCAGAAAGCTAAACCATGACCCAATGCACTAATCCACCGAAGGCTCCCTCCCTCTTTGGGATAAACTTCAGAAAAGTGTAAAAACATCAATCATAAAAGTTGTGGCTGCTTTACTCTGATTGGACTGAGCCGTACCGGGCACTCCATGCTACGATATTATTGTGATTATTAATTTATTTATGTTAATGCTGAGTATTGTAATGTGCAAGTTAGTAATTCCATGCAATCAGTTTCTGATAAAAATGAGTGAGAATCACACCTCTGTGTCTGTTGACGTCCACAGAAGGTCACGTTTCCCATCTGCACTCGCAGCCTGGCGAGGCTCAATCAGACTGAAGGCAACATGTTGACAGTCTGTCTTCATTAGACTGCAGTTATTTGCAAACCTTCAGCAATCTCTCTAAGAGTCACTGCAACTATCTGCTCAAAGGCTGCAACGCTGTGATCAACAGTAAGTGTGCAACACCTGCAAGCTCTGGCCACCCGTTTTGTTTCGCAGATGTAAGGAGGACAGCGTCCTGGTTTTACTCGTGTGGCGGAGCCGTTAGCTCGCGCTGAATTATGAGGCAGCTTCATTGAGCCGACTGTGGTCAGCGTCTGAGATGAGCCGTCATAGTATTCCCAGAATACTTTATTTATTTAATAAAACATTGATATCTGGTGTCGCTGTATTGGTACTGTGTACTGAGCTGTAGCCCGTCCTTTTCTGCTTTTAGGTTCATCTCTGGAGGAAGTGGCAGATAAAAACTGGCGTGCAGTATGCCTGGCTGCGTTTCATTTGCCTATGTGTCGCAAACATTGCTCACTACGTTGGTTTTAATCTCAGCTAGGTGATGGAGGAGAGTAAATGGGAAACATGATGTTGGACTTTTCAATTAAGTTCCCTTGCAACGGCCCACTGGCTGAGCAGGAAGCCTCCACGGAGGCCGGCATTCATCCTCAGCTGTCTCTCTCTTCAGTTTGTACCGAACAGAAGCTCTGAGGCTCCCCTGAGACTTTGCGTAACCCTGCGCTCATCCTCACTCTGCAACCACAGCTGTGACAGAGGACAGAGACGCTGCTGGATCACCTGCAGAAACAACAGCAGAGACAGAGAGCTCTGGACCAGAGGTCACCGAACAGACATGACAGCATCACTCAGGTCACCTGACATCAGATTTCCTTCATATTGACTGTATTCACTGTCGGGTCTCAGTCACATGTGAAAAAGCCGACAGGCGTGCAGCGCAGACCCCGCCCTCTGGGTTTTGGCAAATGTGACGAGATTTGTTAAATTATTTTTAAACACATTTGAGGCGTGATC